TGTCTAATATTAGAGCTCCACTTGAACTCATGGGTCTGAGTATCTTGACCTCAATCTTGCTCTAACTGATTTGTAAAGATATTATGGTCATCCAGGTTTTGATGTCGCTGTAACATTCTAATAACAAGCTGCCGTTTCCTGTCAGGCCCACTGCTAGATCTGGGAATCATCAGCTGTAAATAATGTTATTATATTCCACAGATGTGGAAGGAGATGCTATATCTTTTCATAATCGATCCGAGTCAGCAGGTAATAAAAGACCCTTATAAACCCTTAAAAGAGCAGATTCTGTGCTGTGAAGTGGTTTAAAGCCAGACCGGAACACCTCAAGAATCATATCTTCCTCTGAAGAATACTGAAGGAGGAAGGAGACAAGATGTTTGCTCTACAGTCTTATAAACAAAATACTTGAGAATTTTTTCACAGTGTTGAGGAAACACTAAGAAATTTTCTTTTTCCACCTTTTGTCATTCTTGCCTGATAATCACAAGTAATATCATTTAACCGTGGCTAACGTTTTGTACCAGGACATATAACTTTAAGCAGACAAAAGGTTACAAGTTATAAGGACTAAAGACATTAACTCTTCAATATTTAAAAACAAGGAGGACCTCTTGGTCTCCATGGCAATATTATATGGGTCAGTTGCCATGAGTTTATAGTTCATCCATCCCTCCATTTTCTTAAGAGTTTATAGATTTAGAATCAAGATGGGGCTCTGTGACAGCAGTGATGCGCAACACTTTGGACAGATTGGTGTCAATTACGGGAACATTGTATATGTCGTTCTGTCAATGTGCACTTCTATCCTTTTTCAATCAAATATTTGAATAATAAATAAAACATCAGGGAACACATCATCCAGAAATGAAATTAAAGCAGAAAATGTAACCTAAATGATGTAGCAGGGAACCGCTCTGTAAACAGAGATGTGAAAGCATATTCCCAATCTGATTTCACTCTTTGATGTTTGCTTTTATATCAGTCCAACCTTGGTTGGGACCCAACAGCAATTATGTAACTTTCTAGTAAATTTCTAGAGCCCATCTCCTACTTTTAACACTACAAGTTAGCCTGAGCACCTATCACGTGAGCTGAAAATGGATCATGCAGCAAACAGACTGAATTATTGACCTGAATTATGGCCTAATGCACATACATTCTTTAATCACGTGCAAACAACTGCTGACATCTCACAGAATAAGACGTCACTGAATTTCAGCATCATCCTGTAGCATAATATGTTTGTTAAGAGGTTCATATTCTCCAATATAACCCAACCAGTCCTCTGCACTCCATTAGGTGTAATGTAAGTGTAAGTGGGAGCTGAGTGTGTTATTTAAAAGTTTCCAGCTGATCATAAAAAATCCACACTGCCCCCCAATACTTGGTTCTATTTATCATAATATAAAAATTAACAGTATTAAACCCATTATTGTTGCCTTTATTTTCTGTTATACTGTTAAGTTTGATTTAGACTTCTGCTGGAAATCTATCAGAAGAAAGGAGAGCAGCTAAAATGCTTTGTTTTTGATGGAGGACAGATTAAGAGAACTGCAGCCAAGGCTCAATTTAACCTGAAAAAGAGTAGTGAACTGTTAAAACAAGCTACTCTGTGGTGTCAAAGAATAAAAAAGTGGTGCTGAAATGAACACAACAGGTCCCTATAATAGCTTAATGATGCTAATTATGCCACTGCAGAAATGCTTGTTGGTTTATTGTTATTGCCTGAAAAGAGAGCAGTCATTTGTAATTTTTGTTAGGTAGTGATCCACTTAAAAGCCTGCTTCAGTGTGTTGTCACATGTCTTAAGAAAAGAACTGACTGATAACCATACAGTTAAAAGTCAGTTACACAAACATGTCTTCTAAAATGCAACAATGACACAATATATGTATGTATGTGTCTCAGTGACCACATCGTCCGCATCCTTCCATCTATTGTGTTCACAGGGAGTGAACAGTGCTCTCTCGAGCCGACAGGGGGCTGTCTGTGATTGCGTCACTGCGTCAGTGGAAAGGGGCGGGGCCAACATGGCGGCTACAAAATTTGCATGTCTGATGTTTTGTTTAGCATCATTTTCACAGCAGTTTAGCGCCTCCAGGCTTCTCAACGAACCGTGTTATAAACCCATTAGAGACGACAGGCCGGACTTTGTCAGGTAGGTGAAGATTTTGACCTCCAGCAGTCACACAGGTACTCACGTGAGCTCAGAGAGGAGCTAAACTAGCTCAGAAATAGGAACTCTGGCAGCCTTCATTATCCTAAAAGTTGGCTGCAGCGTCTCTTAATAATATGGTAATTACTCGCCTTAGTGTCCTTAGTGTAGTAATATAACGTTAACGTATTAGTTAAATAAAAACTTATTAGCATCAGTGTCAAAGTGAGTTCCGGGATAGTTTTATGTACTTCAGTAATTTAGTGCAATCTCAAAAATATTTTCAAGGAAAACCCTAGTACTGTACACGTAAAACATTACACGTCATTGGGAGAAAACATAAGCTTGTATATTTAGATATAGCAATATTATCACTAAAGCTACACTAAAAGGTATATGTAAAAAAAAAACACTTTAGTCACTGAAGTAGAAATAAGAGTAGACTTCAGAAAAACTTCACAACTAACATAACATTTTAAATCTAGTTTTTTGGTGGAAATGTTATAGTAGTTTTTGTTCATTTGGTTGGATTTATCAGCACAACCTGCCTGACGATGCGTCTGTGAATGTGTCGAGAGCTGGGGTGTCTGAATGGCTGCTTCCACAAAGTGTTGTGGTTCCTATTATGGTTTTATTCTTCTAACAAATACACTCCACATAATAAAGACTGCAACACTGAAACAAACACTCTGAACCCAGTAATAAAAAAGCTAATTAGAAAATATAAAACTATTTGTTGTTAAATGTAGTTAAATCATAAATCATAACAGGGGTAGCCTGTGTTCCAGTTTCTGTGTATTTTTATTACCAAATCACACAAATTAAAACTGGGCCACCAGTGTCTGGTTAACTCAACATACGCTCACAAGAAACCTCAAAAAGATGATCGAAGGATTCATCACTGCGGAAACAAATATGCAGAACAGCAGGTGAACAAAGGCTAAAGGTTTGAAGATTTGTTACAGCAGAAAAAGGGAATACACACATATGCAAAGAATAGTGACTATTACAAGACTGTGAAACAATCTTTACCTAATGAGGGAGATGGGAAAGTGTAACTAAGTCCTGTTTGGTCCTCACATGATCAGTCCGACACCTGTAATCTACACAGATTGCATGTGTTTAATTTTTAATTTAAAATACATACACGCTTCGCATGTCACTGTCAAAAAATCTCGAGGTGGAGGAATGGAAGATGTTAAGAGTTTCACTGTGAGTGACCAGAATGGGCAGGATTAGACATGAGTACAAGGCTGAAATGGTTTGAACGTGTGCAGAAGAGGGATGAATTGTTTAAAGGATGTTGAAAAGGGATCTGCCAGGCAGAGACGATTCATGAATGTAGTGAAGGAGGACATACAGAGGGTTGGTGCGACAGAGAAGGTTGTTACAGATAGGGTGAGACAGAGGCAGGTGATCTGCTGTGCTGACTCCTAAAGACAGCAGCAGCAGAAAAAGAATTGAAATCTTCTGAATGGAAATGTTATGAGACATTTCTTACAATGTTGTTGCATCATTCAGAGATTTACTTTACTGCTGTAGCTGATAAATGTGGAGCTTCATTCATCTATATTAGATAAAGTGACAACAAATTTGTGTGTCGTTACATGGAATAAATAGTAACTTAATTAACTTCACATAGTTATTAAAAAAACAAGCAAATTGTTAGGGAGTGTGCAAGCAAAAATGAATAGAACGTTTACTCTTTACCAATTTCTTGTTTTACTAGAGTATTATATCAAGGTTTAATTTGAGACATAAAAGGAGATGTACAATACTTCCTTTGCCAGTATAAACATTTAAAATTGCACCTTAAAACTGCACTTTAGTACTTTTCACCACAGGCTTTATTATAATGAACAAAGTAGCAGTAAGATACCCATTTCCATTAAGTTCTCCATTAAGCAATCAGCAGGGCTTGTTAAAAAAAAAAATCCACAACATCGCAAACTGAGAAGCATCATTGAGAGTTCAAATACATTTCTTGATATGCAGAGGGAACAAACTAACTTTTTTTTTGGTCAAAAAACCATAAAATCCCATTAAATTAATACAAAGCCATGTCTGATTATCTGTAATTGCACAAAATTTGACAACTGGTGCAAAATCATCTAAAGTGAGATAACATGCTTGCTGAACTTCGTGCTCAGCAGGGACGGATATCACCGCACAGACATGCAAATGTCCTGTCGGCTATTAGCACCCACAGGAAATGGCAGTCAGTCACTGCAGTTACACTACCCACACACTCCCGAGAGGGGATGATATTAGTCAGACAAGTGAAAACATCTGTGCTCGCTTTAATAACAATAATTACAGCTGCTCATCACTCCACTTTGTTTAGGACGCAGGCCCGGCCGCATGTAGAGGTGTTGAAGCTTCCTCCGTCATGGGACTGGAGGAACATCGATGGGAAGAATTATGTGAGCGTCACGAGGAACCAACACATCCCCCAGTACTGTGGCTCCTGCTGGGCCATGGGAGCCACCAGTGCGCTAGCTGGTAACCATGACAACAGCGGGATGGAGGAAAATTATAATAGCAATACGGCTAGAGGGCATATTGTCATGTGAAATGAAAATGACTAAATTTAGTGGTAAGTGGAGAAGCATCCACCGGCTCCTGCTAATGTGTGTCGTTCTTTTTGTCTAAGACCGCATCAACGTCAAGCGTGGAGGAGCGTGGCCGTCGGCGTACCTCTCCGTGCAGAACGTGATAGACTGCGGGAGGGCAGGTTCCTGTTACGGAGGCGATCACCTGAGAGTCTACGCCTACGCGCACGAAAGAGGCATTCCTGATGAAACCTGCAACAACTACCAAGCCAAAAACCAAAGTAAAGAAATACTGAGTTATATTTTGTTTGTTTGTTTGTTTTCATCAAAGGCCATATTTCCTTTTGATTAGCTCCAATCAGAATTGGATAATGTTACTTAAGATTACTGGCATTTAAAAGTAATCTATTATTGCATTAACTGCTGAGGTCTGATTGTAAATTACACTTTAGGTGTGTCAGGCTGCAGTTGTCTCTCTGTGTTACGCTGTGATAGACTGGCAATCTAACCTGGTCATACCCCACCTTTTACTCAATGTCAGCTAGATCTGATCAACTTATTAAATTCAGGGTTGTGGGGGTGGGGCTAGAGCACAGGTGTCGAACTCCAGGCCTCAAGGGCCGGTTTCCTGCAGGTTTTAGATGTGTTCTTGATCCAACACAACTGATTTAAATGACTAAATGACCTCATCAACATGAAGTTCTTGAAGTTCTCCAGAAACCTGGTAATGAACTAATCATTTGATTCAGGTGTGTTGACCCAGGGTGATATTTAAAATCTGAGCGTAGGTTCCAGACCCACCTCAAAAAAAGCCTCATGATGTTGGTCTGTAGCCTACTGTATGATGAGTATTATGAGTCCCCTGAATTTTTTGCATAGCTAGTTGACGGTGATAAAATGTTCTCCACCACATGACCGGGAACAAACGTGTTAAATTCCCCTTTGAATGATGGCTTTGTCCAATTTAAATGCTCTCTGTTGTCAGGAACACATTAGAGAGGAGCTTCCAAATGCATGATGCAGAAGCAGGTGAATAAATAAAAAAAAGCTGTTGTTAAGCTATTGTAAAAACAAAAAGAAACCTACAGACTGAAGAAGTGCTGACAAAGGAGGGGGTTGACAGCATTCACAGAGGGATGAGTGGTGACTAGACACAGGTGAAGGTGATGAGGGCAGAGCAGACAATCACAAAGGAGCAGGAAGTAAAACTAAAACAAGACACATGCCAAAATAAACTTCAAAGTTAAGCTGAAAGTAACAAAAGACAATAACTATCTCTGAGAGGTAAAGAGTGATGCTAACGTGACTGCAGAGAAAAAGCAACAGGAGGCAGAGGCAGGAGGAAATGGAGAAAATAGAAGCTCAATACTGCACTGCAAAACCAGCAGAAAACCTTTCTGAGCTCCAGCAACTGGCCTCATCACCATCGCTGGGCTAAAATTAGCTCGCAGGTGGCTCTACAAAATATGAAGCAGTTGATAAGAGACCCATCACACTGCCACAGAATAAAGCAAGTACTTGAGCAAAGTAAATTCTTTTCTCTGTGACCATGCCAGCTTACCTGACTGACACAAAATATCCCACGTGTTGATTTGTAAGTGTGACTCTGAAAGTTTACCCAGAATTCAGCTTTGGTAGTTTTCTCCAGAAACTGTGACATATATCATGATATTGATGGTTCGGAGTTTGAATCGTTTGGATTGGGTGTAAAATTGAGTTGGTTGCAGTTTAGAACAGAGCTTAAATATTTGCTTTGGGAGGTGTCAGCCCTGAAATTGTCTTTATTCTTGACGTTATGAGGGTTCAAAAATACTGGGAAAAAAGAGGCAAATGGAAAAAGTGCAAAGCTTCGACCCACCTCTGTGTACTAAAAGGGCCTGTTGAAATTATCTCACTCTCTCTTTGTTGTTCAAGCACAATGGTGCTGCACCTGTGCCTCTGAAGAAATGCTTGTCCTGACCCGCCTGCACGGCGCTCTGAGATGAAGCCTCTTAAATAAACGGTTCAGAGGAAAAGGTTGACTGGCATGCTGGGCATTTATTCAGGAACACAGAGAATTAATGAAACCATTAAACTAGCACCATCCCCCCAAACCGCTGGTACATTTTGGACACCACATAGATATGTTACCCAGCACATAATTATGTAGCAGTATTCACAATTATGTCTTAATGCACAGCAGAACATCATCCCCATGTTTGAGGGTTTGGAAACCTCAGTACCTATTTTTGTGCATTGTACACACAGGACATATCTGGGATTGCTTCTCACCAAAGCACGTATTTGTACACATTCTGCTTTACACTGCAACTATGATATGATATACAAATGTTTTTAAAACAGCTGCCCCATTGTGTTAAAAGCTCATCTTAAAATATTGAGCTACTTAGAGTATTGCTGCCGTGGTATTGCGACCATTCTCTGTAATACTATAGTTAGACACGTATGTGATTCTGGTAGTAAGTCCTGCAGCTTGAGCAGCCACTGCATGGAGAGACGTCTCAGAGGCGTTATGCTCACCAGCAGTAACTCTTAAAGAAATTCACATTAGCTCAAAGTCTAACGACTCCTTATGATAATACATAGACAGGCCACAGTTTGCCATGTTCTCAGTCAGTGGATGTAGTATACCGTTTCAGTGCACTATTTTTTTAGTGGCGGTATTATAATAGAGATTTTAAACAGCGCTGCGAAACAGCAAAAGCAAGATTACATCTCAACAAGTGATGTTAGTTTCAGATGAGGATAAGTAAAGTCCTCTTTCTGGAACTGCTGCCACATGGCGGGGAGCAGACGGCACGATCAGGTGAACTCGGGAAGACAAGAAGTGACAAAGACGGAAAGCAATCAGTGATGAAGAAAGCGAGATGGGCTCTTCACTGTAATACGGACTGGGAGCCAATTCTTACTGCCAGTATACTGTGCGTGGTCGATCTTACTGATGCTCTTGTAGCTGAACTGGAACAAAAATCTCTACAACCAGACTTCAAAATATGGAGAGAGAGAGTGGAGGCGATTAAATCAGCAGATTATTGTAAGGAGTATTCTGCTTTCATATATGAATGCAACAGCTTGGTGTCCACAATTCTGGGCCTCTAAAGTAGTTATCTGTCTAGTTTTGAGATGCAATTCTAGTGAAGTCCTAGCATATTTTAAATCACTAGTTTTAACATGGTAAGTCTTGACATGTTCGCTGTTTTGAGGAAAAATGTAACTGACATAACTCTCAACTTAGTAAAATTAGAGATCAGCAGTCTGGCATTGAAGCCACGCCACATTCAGAGTCACTTAAACCACCTTTCTAATGCTCAGTTTGGCATTTAGCAGGTCGTTTTGACCATGTCTACATGCCTAAATGCATTGAGTTGCTGCTATGTGACTGGCTGATTAGAAAGTAGCATTAACAAGCAGTTGAATCAGGAGCAAACTGAGTGCTCACTGAGCTTTAAATCATCTTCTTCATTTGTTGTAGAGTGCGAGCTGTTTAACCAGTGCGGCACGTGCTCCTTCTTTGAGTCGTGCGCTGTTGTGAAGAACTACACCGCGTGGAAAGTCGGAGACTACGGAGAAGTTTCTGGGAGAGATGAGATGAAAGCTGAAATTTTCACCGGCGGACCCATCAGGTAGAGTAAGTCATCCTCGAAGTCATTTCTCACTTTTCATCCACCTACTCCTCCTGTGTGAGGGAGGATACACTGCCTGAGATTTTCACAGAGAAGCTGTTCTCTTAGGGAAGTTTTTTTTTTCAGTGAATGACTATTTAATGATTCTTATAACCTTGGAGAAAGATAACAGCAACGAGTGTCATTCTTTTTTCCACTCAGAGAAATCTTAAAGTCAAATTGAATGCCATTAAGTATTGAAAAAAATCAGACCTGTGTGTATATATACAGTATATTAAATTTCACCTTTAATCCACTTTGATAAACTCAGCTGAGCGTTTTGTGTCCCTTTAGAGTTTACATCTTACATCAGCTGTTAGTCTTTTAGTGAAGATTTGGCTCTGACAGCTTTACATTATCTTTAAATTAATTCATGCAGTATTAACAGGGTCTTTAAGAGTTTCCATTGTGCTGTTGTAATATCTGCAGATAAGAATTATTCAACGTTTTTTTTAAATAGCTGATACCTAAGAGCCTTAATAAAATTAAAACAAGATTTTGGGCATGTAGGTGTGTCTCACTGTCACGTCCCTGCTCAGCTACTCAGCTAAGGCAAAGAGTGGAGCTCAATAAAGGTATTTATTAACCAGCAAAATGGTTACAGTAACAAGTTAATATGTAAATGGATTCATACAGGTCTTTTACCCATTTACCCATTCATGTAGACATACAGGACTTAGTTTAGAGTCATCAAATAATCTAACATGGAAATCTAGCTAGGATGTCTTCTGGTTCAGGTGTCACAGCAGGACTGGGAGGAGATCTTGAGGCATAATTTGGAGAGATTATATCTCCCCTGAATGAGCTGGAGGCTATGACTGGACGTCTGAGAATCTCTGCTGACTGCTGCTAACAGCTAACGAACTGTGCTCCCCGTCCAAATAGTACCCTGTGTCTTAACAGAATAACTTAACTAACTGTGGGGGTGTGAGTGAGCAGCGGGGTAAGCGACGCCTGGCAAAGTTTCCAGGAACCAGAACAAGTGCTTCAGAACAAACAGTACTTGCTTAAGGCTGTTAAATTAATTTCAAATTAAAAGTACTGGCTTACAACTGTGATCCAAGAGGCAGACTGCTCATATTAAAAGCACTGAGTAGCATCTATACTGCATTTAAATAAGGTGACAGCAACAAGGTGCGTTTGCTAAATGGTCATCCAGACTGGGCGCCTGTCCATTAAGACAGCAGGGTGATTGGTACTTGAATCACAGGCGCAGTTGGATCTGCGTATGATGAAAAGGCTCAAATGATTAAACTACAGGGGCTGGGAAAACTGTGAAAACATTGCAAGAGAATTTCAAGTTAATTAAAAGAGACTTATTATGCCTTTCTTTATTTTATGTCATGCATATACTGTTAAAATTATGAATGTGCTTTTTACTGTTGTGAGTGGTGATATGGACACAACCCGAAGGAACAGGACATGTTGGAACATTGGGGAAAAAAGTCAAAGTGAAGCAAAAATTTAAAAACTAGAATATACAGATCAACTGAGGATTCAACGGTAGGATTACTTTAGGCCGCAATATCTAATCAGCCAATCCCATGGCAGCCGCTCAATCCATTTAGGGAAGATGACCTGCTGAAGGCTGTGGTATTTAGAAACACTGAAGATGACTGTGTCCAGCAGGATAACAAGCCATGAAATCATCTCAAACTGGTTTCTTGAACATGACGTAACATTTGTATTCAAATGATCTCCACAGTCACCAGATCTCAATGCAAAAGAGCACATTTGGGATGTGATGGAAAGAGAGAGTCACATCATCAGAATCAGAATACTTTATTAATCCCAGAAGAGATTATGTAACGAATGTGGAGCCAACAAATCTGCAATAACAGTGTGATGCTAGTACGTCAATATGAACCAAAATCACTGAGAAATGTTGTTGAATCTGTGCCTCAGAGAATTAAAGCAGTCCTGAAGGCAAAAGGGGATCCAAGCCAGCACTCGCAAAGTGTACCTAATTAAGTGACCATTAAGTGTCTATATATGCGCACAGAAATAACTGAACAATAGCACACAGGTGTGTGCAGCACGCAGGAGGAAACATTGTGCCTTATTCACACAGTGTGTAAAGTGTGCGGATGCTAGTCATTAATATTTTAGGGCCTGAATTTGTTCGTACTCCGTGAGCAAATTTAAAAGTCCCTCTGACCAAGCAAATGAATAAGTGATGAAGGCCTGGCTGTCTTATAAAATGTAACACATGTCTATAATTTGAATTGAATACTACATTTTTTTTGGTCATTATTTAGTTATTTAAATAATTACTTATTATTATATACAGTTAAACACAGTAAGCCCCAAAATACAGTCTAATTTCTTGGCACTGTCCCACATATTCCAGAGAATTCTGGAGAATATAGATGATATTCTCAACGTCCGTTATTTCGGACAGTCCTCGCATTTTTTTATAGTGTCTCACTTACTCAGGCTCTTTCCTTCTTTCTTGCTTTAGCGGTGCAGGATACGCTCTGACATCACCAACATTTTCTGCTTCACTTGGAGGTAAACGTGTTTCTCTGTACAAACAAGTGGAAGCAAATCTTTCATATAATAACAATTAAGTTTAGCACTTTTCAAAACCAGCTTTACAAAGTGCTTTTCAAAAACCATTAGAAAACAAAGAAGGAAATTATAAATCAGTTAAACTAAGGCTCATGTGTAATGTCAAAATTAGATACAGTGTGATTCAAATTTTAGTGAATAACTTAAACTTAACTTACAAATCAGCAACTAAAAGTAGAAGAAGACGAGTTAAATGTTATATATGCAAATATACATTAATGTAAATATATGCAAATATATGCAAATATATATGTATATTTATATTTGAAAATGAATGCATGGTGTTAATAACAAAATATGTCAGTGTGCATGTTTTTCTAATCCAGCTGTAATTTTGCATACACTCTTGATTTTTTTGCAGAGGCTCAGAACGTTCCCAAACACATATTAGTAAATAAAGCCCAATTAACTGCAGGTGAAAGTAACCGGAGCAGAGTAGACCGTCACAAAGGAGAGAAAAGGCATGAAGTAAAACTATACACCACAGAAAACTAGACTTCACAGGAAAACAGGAAATAATCGAAGGCAACGAACAACCAGACATGAATGATAGCCAATAAACACGAAGTCAGGGATACACAGAAAGCATAAATAAAACTAGAGGAACACAGAATAAGAATAAAATAAGGGAAAGAACTGAATTACAGTAGTATCAGAAAAAAGTCGAAACAGGAACCCAAAAGCTCACACACACACGCGAGAGTCAAAACTAGAAAAGCAGTGAAATCCAGACAGGAGCTAAAATTCAAAAATCCAAGAGCTGAAGGTCACGATGACAACAAATGAAATGAAATTAAAACAAAAATCCAAAACTCAAAGGCCACAAAAAGTGTTTATTTCAAACAGTGCATGACCTGAGGAGCTGCAACAAGGAAAGATATGGAGCTGAAAATAAGCATAATAATAAATAAATATAAGTAATAATATCTATGCAAGGAAAGTTGCACAAAGGTCCATTGAGAAAAACTGTATTTATTAACATCTGACTGCAGATTCAAAGCAGAAGACTGCGAGCAAAACTTTGCACTTAAAGTTCTCACAATGCATAATACACACTTAAGATGCAAGTACAAATTCTGAGCCCGCTTTAAAAGCCGACGCATAGCTAAAAATGACCGTAATTTGAGCCCACGTAACGGTTCCATCTAAGATTTAGCATTACATTTCAGTAATGAAAGAAAATGGCAACATAAAAGGTATGAATTCTTGTCTTTCAGCTGTGCATTGATGGCGACTGAAGGCCTGGAGGAATACTCCGGAGGGATTTTCTCCGAGTTTCACCCTCTCTCTCTGCCAAATCACATCGTGTCTGTGGCTGGGTGGGACGTGGGCGAAGATGGGATTGAGTACTGGATCGTCAGGAACTCCTGGGGAGAGTTCTGGGTTGGTATTTCACGACAGCCTGTGCTTACTCCAAGCTTAATGAGCTCTGTAAACTAAATTCACAAGTTCTTATTAATTTTGTTTTGGCTGAGCTGAAGCAGAAAATGTTTGTTTGTTTTTTTAAGACTTTTTAATTTCTCAGACTTGCAGTCAGAGTAAATAATACTGTTTTGTTTTCTTCCTTTTAGGGAGAACACGGCTGGGCGAGAATTGTCACCAGTGCATTTAAAGGAGGAAAAGGCAACTGGTTCAACCTGGGTATTGAGAAAAACTGTGCATATGGAGACCCTATTGTAACATAGGTGCTTAATTAAGGTGATGAATCTTACTGAAATAACTGTGGATAGTTTGGAAAATTTAGGGAACGCTTTCCTCCTGTGCACTAAAATCAACATGTGCAAACAACAATTTGCTGTTTAATGTGGGTTTATTTTTTGAAAGTGCTTCTTGGCTGAGAGCAGTAATGTCCTGAAGCTAGTTCAATCCAAGAAATTGTTTGGTAACATCTCCCTGTAAAAAAAACTCAATCACAACATGTTATTTATGCACTTTGGTTTCTGCATAAAATAAACAGTATTACAAAGTCGCAGTGCACCCAGCTCAGAATCTTAAACATGTACAGACAATACCAGCTCTCACTAAGTATACTTCTTAGTGTTTATTTAAGAACAGGAAGAACACATTTTGAGCTCTTATCTGTATTCAGCACTACCAGCTTAAAGAAAGTCCTTCCATTTAGGATTTTCAGCCTTCACAGGTTGTCTGAGGATCAAGCTCAGACACGGTCTCTAGCAACAAGATATTTGTCGATGGTTTAGATACAGCTAAAAACATATAACAGAATCACTTATTAACCCCTAAGCTTCCCTCTTAGAGAGACTTGAAAATCTCTTAAACATGTTTCCATTAAAAAAATGACAAAGTGTATCATTAAACATTAGCACATTTTATTTAAGCTGTTTGATCAAAGATTCACAGATCTTTGCAAATAAATGGGCCAAAAATCTGAGTGGTAAAGTGGTCGACGCTGATTGCTTCGGACCTCCTCAAACATATTTAAATTGTGAGGGGATTGGAAGAAAGTTCAAAGTTAAAGATGGACTCTTTCTTATAGAACCAAATTTGTGGTCTACTTGTTAAAATGCCCAAATGGGCTGATGATAGCATAGGAAAACTCTACAAAATTGTAAAATGTCTTTGCTAGCAGTACCATCAGTCGTTATCAAGTCGAGTCACTTTTATTTGTACAGCAAATTTTACAACAACAGAAGTTGAGCCAAAGTGCTTTCCAGGCAGGTGCTGTTGCGTTCCAGGTCCAGACGTTACATTGGTGCAGAACTGTACCCTGTCTGTGTGGTCAGAGTATGCAGATCTCGGATAAAGGCACTGATGCCGTTGACTTGCCTT